GGGTGAGAAAGATGAGACGGACGAAATGAAGACAGAAGAGAATGAAAGATTATCTGTGGAATATTACTGCCTCAGCATTTGCCTAAGTGATCCAAGGAAACCACAGAAAAACTTGGACCAGGGCAGACGGACCCGGAATCGAACCGGCGTCCTCCCGAATGCTAAGCAATGGTCTAAACCTCTAGGCCATGCCGCTCGGTCGCTAGAGCAACCCATATCCTTAACTATTTGCGAACAGTAATCTAATTTAGGTCTGCCTCTACCCCTCTTAACTTCCGTTTCTGCCTCTAATATCTCTCTGAGTAGACCTTCATGCCTGAGAAGGTGTCCTAGCAACCTATCTCGCCTATTTTGAGATACGTTCTTCTCGGGATCATGTGGTGGTTTCCCGTTGCCTTCCACATCGCAATATCGTGCACCAGAGTGCCATAGCGATCCTCGTGATCTGTGCCACCCTGAGTACTGATAGACTTGTCTTAGTCTGGTTTCTCTTTAAGACTTAGTTTATAATCTTTTTATTCTTTGTAATCGTTTAATATTACAGTTCAAAAATCAAACGTTTCTTTCTATTTATCGTAATTAAGTCTGAAATTCCGAGCAGCTGTAAATCTGTCCCTCCATCATACAATGAAAACAGACGGTAATATGTTGTATTCGTGCCAATTGAGTTGGATTCAGGAAGCAAAACGGGATGTTCCCGATAGTTGGACGATAGCGATGGAAAGCCAGTTAAAGATTGCATGCCAAGGCAAATACGTACACGGTACGATCCCCGACATCGTATTGCGAGTTAGACAGGCGGAAAACAAACCCTTTGATTTATTGGGACCTATTCCGATGGCAATTTCATCCGCATTTATCGGAAATCTGTTTGTCCTTTCCAACACAAGAGACGGAAGTTCAACGGAACCGTTTCGTGAAACCATTGCAATATTCGCAAAACCAAATCAATGACAATTTGACAATTAATGAGTAATTAAGGAAGTGTATTTTCGAAATCAATTGATAACTAGAAGTATATAGTTACAGTCGACAGCAGCCATTAAAAAACAGAACTGACAGGTGGAAAAATTTTTCGCCGATCCGAGACCCTACAACTCTGAAAAAAATTGTCTTCCCAATTAATTACTATCGAATAAACTTATTTTTAGATAGTATTACGTTCCAATTTTAATGGAGTACCTACCTATCGTCCTTTAGTTGAAGGCGATAATGTATTAATAATTATTTAATTGTTTGCTGTCTTTATTCAGACAATATTTTCAAACAAATATTTCTTTTTAGAATACTTTAGTTCTATTTACATCATAATTTTAGTGATTCTTTGTTACTGTCATCATCCCTATTGATATTGGAATACCAGTAAATTATAATTTATTTTTCCTCGGTTGAGTTGTCCTGAATCTATGTCAACGCGGTGGAATATTTGGTCTGGTATTTTTGTTACTTTTAATGGGATCGTCGTCGTTTGTCGGTAGAGTTTGTGTTGTTGGCAGTAAGCACACTTCTTTATTAGATTCTTTGTTAGTGCTTACATTTTCGGAAATTCATAATTTCTGTGTAATATATTCAAGGTTTCATGGATTCCTTTGTGCCCGTGTGTTGCATTTTCATGATACCTCTTGATAATAGATAATTTAATTTCGTCGGGAATTAGGGCTGGGAATTTATTCGCTATTCTTATGTTTTTGTTGAGATCTTTTGTGAATGATTTTATAAGCTTTATTCGATAATTATTATATTAATGACATTCTATTCAATATCTATAATATCTTTTACGTTTTGTTTATAGCTATCATTCGTATCACTTTTACGGAAAACGTAATTCACTTTTTCATTGGATTTGGGGTTGACGAACGTGATATTATATGTAATTTCCTTTAGATCGGTATCTTCTAGTATTCTTCTTATTTGGTTGTCTTTTAGATTGACCGGTATGATAATTAATTCGGTGTTTTTAGTAGTTACCTGTTGAGTTTCTCTGTTTGACTGCTGTTCATTGTTGATGTTTTCAGCGGTGATAGTGTCGCTTCATGGTGCAGAGTTTTCATTGTTAGAAATTGTATCAACTTGTTCCATTAATCCGTCGATTTCTTCGTATAATTCTCTTGATCATGGTGAGAGTTTTCCTACAGGGTAAATTCGTGAATGTGCGTCATCGTTTGCGTTTTGTTTTCCTGATTTGTGGATGACGCACGACACCTGAAGAATTGGGCGGCGTTTCGGGCTACAATGTCTTCGACGAGCCTGCGATTTGGATGAAGGGACGACAGAGGTAGGTGAAAGAAATGACGTCCTCGATCCTAGTAAATCGTTCGGGTTCGGGAGTACAGGTCAGTTCGGTTGTGTAGTCATTGTCGTTGTCTGATGTTTTTTTGGCTGGGGGACTACACACCTTACCGGCGCTGTCTTGGAGGGTTTTTGGATCAGGTCGCCTTGGACACTTACTATCAAAGGAAAGGGGTTTACCCTTGCTTAGTGTTAGTTAGTGCAGGAAGGCGAGTCATGTTTTCAACCGGTAGCAAAGTGAATACTGTTGGTACGAAGAAGTATTGTGGTTAAATGTAAAGCATTTACCACATTGGAGTGGTTGAAGGCCGGGAGGTCAGGCAGGTTCGCTGCTATAATTACGTGAGAACATTTTGAAGCCTTTGGAAAGTATGGTGTCAATAGGTTTGGCGCATGTGGGAATTATACGAATCAAGAACGTATCCATATCCGTTTGTCTGATCTTAATGCGCGTTTTCGCACTCTATCCAGTGTGTTTGTGATGTCTGTGTATTGGTTCATTGTATGTGTTAGTGTGATTCCTAAGTATTTTATTTCTGTTTTTAGTGTTAGTCGGGTGTTAAGTAGTGTAACATTTATGTCGCGCGTTGAAAGGGATTTTTTGGTGACGATATTAGGATGTCTGAATAGAATGAGTTGGGTTTTGTTTGGGTTAAGTGAGCCATAGTTCGAGTTGAATGATTTGAAGATTAATTTTCGAGTTATATGAATTGGTGTTTATAGCATATGTCCAATAGGCGGTGCCGTCTGCGTACTGAGTCAGACTTATTGAATTATAGAGGGGCTGTGGAATGTCGTGACAGTATATGTTATATAATAGTGGCGCAGGAACCGTGCCTTGGGGTNTCACAGAGTATAATTTCCTCACGGTATAGCGGCCGATATCTGTCGGGAAATCTGAAACGCAACGGCTTTGTTTTCCTTTTACTATTTCTTTAATCTGTTATCCCATCGTAGGATGGCGCATTCTGTACAGTATTTAACTTTAAATAGGAACTTTATCCAAAAAAGTATCTGAAATAATACTTTGATATGTACCATAACCTTTGCATGAAATAGCGTTATTAATTAATAACAACATAAAAAAATTATATCTATCCTCAGCATCTTTCCTTTTTATGTTGTATAGGTTTGTGAAAGTTTGGAATATATTTTTTTAAACACGTATACCTGAAAGAAAAAACTGCACAAATTTGCAAATCTAGAAAAAGGAACTAAAGAATTTAAAAGACTACAAGTGTCCTCTTCAGTTAATATTTCTTGACTTTTAAAAATCAAAAATCGACTCATTGGGGAAAATGAAGCCGTTGAACTAGTAGATGACAAACGTTATAAATTTAGTTCAGTTTTATGTTTATTTCAACAATTTTCCTTTTGTGACATTTTTAATTACTAATAGTGGTTAACATGCAATATTAATGTGAAAATTCATTTTCGATTTTCCATCCACCACAAACTTCCTCATATTTATCAAAATATTTTTTCTCATTAACCTAAGGAAGTTTGTAGTGGATGGAAAATCGAAAATGATTTTTCACATTAAGATTGAATTTTCCTTTTATTTTAATTGATTGAAGTGTAAGTTTATTGGATAATAATACTGCACTGCGGAAATTTTAAGCTCTACGTGACATCTACAGGATAAACGTCGGAAAAATATTAATATCCATTGGTGCCTACACTCGACATCTGCTGAAAACTTTTTCAGTTTGACCTGTGTCTCCTTGATTTAAAATTTTTCTTTGATTGCAACAATTACGTTCAGAAGATGGCAGTACATATACATATATATAGTTAATTAATATTGTTACTTGCAGTAAAAACCGATACGAATAGTATTGTTAGAACTCAACAAGAAAAAATAGGTATCAGTAAAAATCTTCTGGCAATACTACACATAGGCGTTTTGCATCATATAATTAATATTGTTGATTATCACGTTAATCAATAACATAATTGTCAATTAATATTCGTGATGAACTGTTTCAACGAAAGGATTACTTAATGAAGATTGGGGAACTTTGGAATTTGTAAATGTTGCGGCATTTTATTACCATGAAAAGTGCCATTCATGTTTGTTTGAAGCACATTACACACTTTTACGTTTAAGAACACCCTTTATATGCCATTTTCTTATGCCAAGTTTCAAAAAAAAGGCAAACATTTTGTAGAAAGGTCCTTATTGATTATCCATAGCCTGAGGCAACTTATTATCCAGTCAATCTCTTATCAGTTGTAACTTATAGGGAGCTTTTTGTAGTTTTATGTTTTGTTATATAGTTTATGCTGAGATACATTATATTGTATATTGCATGCATTGCAATTAACTAGATACTGATTAAGTATAAGTGATTGAACCGTTATAATCCCAAGCTCGATCTACCTATATGTATCTAGATTCTAGACAAGGTTCAGTATGGTATTACTACACACTGCACGTAGGCATAGACGCAATAAGCGGTAAGTTAATTACTGCTTTTGTTTTGACGTATACTGGAATTACCTGTAATATAAAATTCAAATATAAACACCATGCTATCTTTAGACCTGATGACTCATTCTCATATTCTTGTATCTATAGCATAAACATTATACTTTCTCCTTCCATGAAACGGTTTTTCGTCATTGGTTTTATTTGGTTTACGAAATTCCTAACGTTAACAGTTTTCAACTTGCATACATGTACCTATATGTATGTATATTTAGTTAATGAGAATGTTGTCTTCAACGTGATACTGTTTTAGAATAGTCCAGTTCCATTTGCGTAGTATTTTACTTCAAAGCCAAAAAGCACGTACGCGCTGCTGCTATAACTAGTGCAAGTGTGTTTTCTTTTAATACTCGTACATAATTAATTAATTAAGTGTTCAAGAGAGTTAATTTAGTCGAAGATGAAACTTATTCACGTCAACTCGAAAAGTAGATCTTTCCGAATGAAGAAACATGATAGTCTCGATGAATGTAGCAGGACACAGAGAGGTATGTGAAGTAATTTTTAATTAATAGATTGATTAAAATCTATCTGTGTATTACGTGTTATCGTAAAACAAAAAATAGTGGATCCCAAAATAGAGAAATACAGAAAGTTCGAAAGGTTACGGATTATCAACGGAAATGTACATAATAAAAAAAATACTTGATCTGTTTCGAAATTTATAACATTCACAGCAGTCCAAAGGTTCATTTCGTGAAATTAAATCATTTGGATTTTCTCAAACGTTTTGATTAGGTAGTTGATAAAGACAGAGGCTACTAGATGAGTAAAAATAATCAAGAGATTCTTAAAAGACTGAAGTGTTTGAAAGTAACTGAATATTTGGCAGCCACTTTTAATTCCTATTTATTGATTTATTCACTGAGCTACTGACTGATTTCATATCTACGAATTAATATAGGCGAAAATAAGCACGGTATTCAAATATGTAAGTCAACAAAAATTTTAATTAAGCAATATACACAATTACAATATATATTCATTCATATTGTTGGAATGAAATAGAAAAGGATACCGTGGTGATGGAAAAAATAAAAAAAAAAGAAAAGACTTACTCTAAATTCAGATGAAAAAAATAGGTGTTGACTTTGCAACCTTGGTCGTGCAAAAGAGTTCAAGACCAAGGCTGTCTTTATATTAGACTTTATACTAGAATAATTTTTTAAAGAAAATGTAAGTATCAGATTAACTGGGCAAGACAAAGACTAAACACGCAAGACCAAACCGGAAATATTAATTAATACCAAGACTGGGACAGTTTCTCCTTTATCTCTCGCTCACGAGTCACCCCAATAGACTAATTTGAACTACGCCTTCCTAAACTGCCCCAAGTATAGTTTAAATGAAAACAACTTCAAGTATAACTGCTTTCTCTCTTTTTCTTTTTCAGGAAAATTGATCAAGTCAGATAGCACTGCTTCAGAAAAGTCCCACGATAAATGTAATCTCCCTGATCATTTGTCATTACAGCTACAAGAAAATATAGTTTTGTTTGTTTGCGCCGTAATTGGTCTGTTAATATGTACAGCGGCTTCTATTTACTTTATTTCTACAAAGAATGTTTAATAATTATTAAGCGTTGAAACATTTATATCTGGTGTATGTTTTGAATTTGTTGTCATAACAATGAATAAGTACAGACGTTGGATAGAAGAAAATGTTTTATTTTTAATTAAATAAAAAATAGCTTGTAGTAATGCCTACAACACACAAAATCATGGATACAAAACAATTTGGAATTGTACATAGGATCTGATGATGATCTCTTCGCAAAAATAAAAATAAAAAGGGAAGTCATCTATTCAATAGATTGCAGGACCAATCATTAAAACAATGTATGGCTTGTTAATTAATAAATTTTTTCCAATTTTCAATTGTGTTACACTTAAAATCGTAATTGTTTAAGTGACAATTATTTTTGTAAGCAATTCAACATAAAGATTAGATCTCAACCATTTTTATTAATTGTACATTATTTGCAGAATAAGACACATTTAATCCTTTTTGTATTTTGATTTTCTTATATTTTGTAACAATCGTGCATTATGTATATTCTTATCGACTAGTTATTTATTAATTTAGGCACTTATTTATTTGCAAAAACATATTTTTTACTGTTTTGTCAAATCTAGTCATATTTTTATTTTTATGTATCTATACTTACACAAGAAGACTGTCATAATAAATCGTAATATTTGTTTAAGTCATGTCATTTATTAATATAATTACATAAATAAATTTACTAAACTTATGTATAAAAACTGACTTTGATGTTTTGTCTTATCAGTATGTACAAACTTAAACTATTAAATTTATTTATGTAAGTAGAATTTAATTTTGTCGGTGAATTTATTTTAATTTGTAATATGAATTTAACTATTAATCTTCGCATTTCTCTAAAACTAGAACAACCTACATCCTTAACTATTTGCGAACAGTAATATAAACTAGGTCTACCTCTACCCCTCCTAACTCCCTCTTCTGCCTTTAATATGTCTTTGACTAGACCTTCACGCCTGAGAAGGTGTCCTACTAACCTATCTTGCTTATTTCTTATTGATTTACATAGAGTCCTCTGTTCTCCTATTCTTTCTAATACCTCTTCATTTCTAACCTTCTCTATCCACGGTATCCTCATAATTCGCCTGTAACACCACATTTCTAACGCTTCTAACCTTTTCTTTTCCGCTGTGCCCACTGTCCATGTTTCGCACCCGTCCAGCGCCGTGCTCCAAACATACACCTTTAACAATCTTTTTCGAATTTCTAAATTAACCGTTCGCGAGCATAGAAGTGGCTTCTTTTTATTGAAGGCGACTCGACCCTGCGCTATCCTCTGCTATATATCCCATTAGTACTTCTTCCGTCCTAACTCATTTGACTTCCTAGATACCTACCTCAAATTGGTCACTTCTTCTAATTTTTCGTCTCCTACCTTTATATTCGTTCTTTGCCTATTTTTTCTTCCTTTGCATACCAGTATTTTGTTTTAATTTTGTTTATTTTCATACAGTAGTGTTTTGTCAGTAAAAATCAACAATTAAATCTTTTGATAGGTGATTGAAAAAGTATATTCCACACGCTCACCAAATTATGCATTTTCACTCCTGCGATAAAAAGAAAAAATATTTGCAAAAAAATATGTAACTTTTATGTTAGGTAAGCATTTTGCCTTGTCTATGTATATAGGTACTTCCTTTACTGATTAAGATCCCTTAAAACTAATTGCATATTTTATATTCAAAAGTATTAAAAACGATTTCCTACATTAGGATTCTCTTTCACTCTTTAGTCAATAAAATCTCCTTGAATGTCTATGAATTATTCTCTTTTGTAAAGATTTGAACTTTGTCGCCATAAAATATTGCTTATACTTTACATTTTATAGCTAAACTTATTCGTCTCGATTTTTATTTCAGTTCGTACAAAGTCGTTTATTTCAAGTTCAGATAATATGTAGACGAATGGATGAAAAGCATTTGAAGGTAGAAAAAACTCAGTTTTTTACAAGAATATTTGTAACGCTGTGATAAAAGCGAACCTGGCAAGGTTGAGCTTATCGTTAAGCCTTGGCGTGTCCTGTTTTAGTATTTGTTCGAGCTTGTTAAGTTGAGCATGTCGAGACGTTTTATTATAATATCGCGTAACAGTAGGACAATGTACATACAATCTAAATTATTAATGATTGTGATACCGAGACATTAATTTTAAAATTAAAATTGTGTTGATAAGTGTTTATAAACTGTTCGAAGATTCGAAGAAAGAATGCAGCTTTTTTGAAAGATAACAAACAGTTTAACAAGAAGACTAATTGGATTTGGATTCATGTACCTAAACAGAAAAGGTAAATATTTGATGAAAATCTTTAAATATTGAGATTAATTAATGTGATTAATTATGCCATAAATGTGTTGGTTTTTGGTTGGTTGTATTTGGTGGTTTGTTAAAAGTGTTTAATTACAAAATGCAAATACTTTTCGGATTTACCACTTCAAATGTAAAATACAAAAGAGTATTTTCAAAGTACTTTTTTTAAATAAGGTACTTAGGTATTTAATCTTTTTCAAACGTTTTATTGTTCCTTGCTGAAGACATCTTCAGTGGGGAATAGCGAAATTACATGGACCACAGCAAAACTACCCGGAAAACAATATCGAATTCGAAATATTTTGGTTTTGGATTATCTATTTCCAAGGGATTCAGATTTTTTGCACTCTCTAAAAATCAAGTATTAGAAGGTCTCTTTATCTCTTCTTATAGGTACCTTCAATGGGCAACTTAAATTTGCAAATATAAAATACATCTGGAAAAGCATATTTTTTTTTAGATAAAATTCAATGTTTTTCTCAAAAAAGTATTTAAATGTAAAATAGACATGCCAAGGTATTTTGTATTTACCCATTACGTTTGATACGTTGACGAGTATGACATTTTGGCAAAACGACTGGAAGACCTTCAATTACATAAACTTACCTTAAAATATACCTTACTGGTGTAATTAGGGTTACCAATTTTTTGTGCCAAAAATAAAGTACCTATATCAAAGAAGGAGAAAAATAAACAGCATATTTTTTAATTTTATGAATGCATATTTTTTAATTCTTCTCTTGCAATCTACTATCACATTTAACATTTAAAACAAATGAACTCATTTTTTATTAAATTTATTTTACCGCTAGTTAGTTCGTTCTGTCAATTACATTTATTGCAGAAAACAGTCTTTCTGCCAATGGTGACATGACTGAGAAAAAGTATCTATATTTGAGACAATTTCAATGATATTGTTGAATTCTTCTAAAGTATTCACTAACAAATATCTTCACATTTTGCCAGTAGTCATCTCGAAATAATCATTATCTTCTAACCCTTTTCAATCAATTACTTGTAACATTTCTGATTTTGAATACAAATTACCATTATTCATAATAAACATCTGATTATCTCTATAGATAATAGCTTTATCAACCAAGTGTAAAGTTGTTAACAGTTCGTTCTCAGGACTTTTGGGATTTGCTGTGGTGCAGTGGATTAACTCCAGACATTTCGTCGTCTGCTGCAGTCGGCGCGGTCAATGATTAGCAATTTGGTATTAAATGACCACGGCAGCTCTCATGGTCTGGAGTTAAATCGACTGGGCCTTCAGGACGAATTTGAACTTGAGGTGTGAAAGTCTTTATGGGAAAAACAATAATTTCGTATATTGTTTTGTTTCATGGCCAAAATACGTATGGTTTAATCTCTGCATTGACTCAACTTACAAAGTATTCAAAATGTTATAAACATCTGAAATATTTACACTATTTCCTTCTATTAATTTGATTCCATCCATTCTAACCAAAAAAAATTTTCATAGCAGTATGGTTGATAATCTCAGTTGTGATTGAATTTTGAGATATATGCGTTTAACCTAGGTCTAAATCAACTCTTTTAAATGTTGTAATTTTGACGTTGCATTTTGGATAAAGCAAGTAATTGATTATTGGAAATGTAACTGTAAATAAATTTCTTGTAGAAGTAAACACATTTAAGTTTTGATGGACGGAATTTATGCTGTTGATGTTATAAAAATTACCTTATTAGTATTAATAGAAAACCGAACTGCTATTCTGATAAAAATAAGCGATATTAATGAATCCGGCTCGAAGGACCAAAACATTCTCGCAGAATATGCATTTATTTCAAATTGGATATGTTAAACTTCTGCAGGGTATCACATTATTTCTCATTTACTATCATTATTATTAAAAATATGCATGGATCTTTTGTTATAGTTCTGAATAAGTATTGAGATAAATCTAGTATTCTCGCATGAAATAATAGAAGACTAAACAGCTATACATTTATTAAATGGTAAAATACATTAACAACTCTCTCTAGAATTTGTAAATGTACAGGCTGTCAATTTAGCAGCGGTGATTTTGTTAGAAACAATAAATAGGCACGTACTCGTACGCGCAAACACACGCATTCGCGGACACTCGTGTAGCGTGTCATAAGCTTGGACGGTAGCAGTCACCATCGTCCCCTTTTTTGTTACACTTTCATTTAACCGTTTCGTCCATCTGGCACAGTTTCAGTCTACAAACATTACTTTTCTTACTTTACACGCCACCGTAAGGTACCTGTTGGTTGACTTATGTTGATCCTCTTTAATCGTCCAGCAACATATGGAGCGGATTTGTTCCTGTCCTGAGGGATCCAGGGGAAGGGGTGGTTGCCACTAATGTTTGAAACACAAGATATTTTAGTACATCCTGAATTCGTATTACTCAACATACCATAATGGTAAAGTCAGAAAATAATGAAGTTTACAGGTTTTTTGAAGGTGGGATATAGGCATTTTCATCGATGTCTATCTTATTACTTTTGCGTACATTTACTATTAAATGAAGCCTTGTAGTTTTCAACACTAACCAAATCTTTGTAATCATCGTGCAAACATTTCTGCTTTTCAATTTAAAATTTTTACATTAATTTGGTAATTTTGTTTGATACACTTTTTGACACAGGTTTGAGCCAATAAATGAAGAATTATCATAAAAAACACGAGACGTACAAATTGGTAAAGATTTTCACGGTCAGTCGATGAACTCACGCTGACCTGATTCGAGTCTAAAAGCTATCGTCGATTGGAGTTGCTTCCTAACGTTTTGCCAGCACGAATAGTAAGCTTCTTCAAAAGTTCTGCCATCTTCGATTTTGGACGTGAACTCCAATCGACAATGGCCTTTAGACCCAAATCAGGATAGCGTACAATAGTAAAAGTGCTCCGAAACATTAAGAAGAACTCTCTTTTCCATTTTTGAGCACACTGCGTGCGTATAACATGAAAAATGTTACTTGAAAGCATTTGATTATCATCTATTACTGATTAGCAACTATTCCTTACCATGTTCTGCGCGCCTTTGCGTGTTCAAACAATCCAACCATTCTGTCATACTTATTTGTCTATCCTTGTTTATATCACAGTATCTGGGAAGTTTCTTCCCGCATTTCTTCAAATTCTTCACGGTGGAAACCATATCTTTGAAGGCTTTCCATTCGTGTTTGTCCAAAACTTTGTTTTTGTTCTTGTCCAAAATGACAAAATTCCACGTGGCTGCTTGTTCCTCTTTTGTTGCCTTCCATCCTATTTCACTACAAGCAAGAAGAATTTAATTGGGAAAGAGAACAATTAAGATGTACTGTGGAGTACTAATAAGTATGGAATCGTAAGTAATCCAAATACTTAAGGACATTGGGTTCTATTTAACCTTCTTCCCCTATTTTGTATTCAGAAATAATTGAAGAACATTAAGTTCTTGATACAAAAACTAGTTAAGAAAAATGTGATTTCTTTGATAAAATTAAATAGAAGATTCTTAAGTGAATTACACATATTTTTATCGTTGTACCTTCCAATCATAGTTCCATTAGTGTCTTTCAGCATTTTATGTTGCAAAAATTCCATAAGTTCTCTGAGGAACGTAAGCTTTTTGTCATCTGGACACCCCTTCATAGGTCTACTAGGTACAGGAATCTGGTCACATTTAGGGGTTTGATTCTTTACAGACGTCCCGGGAATATTCTTACCGGTATCTTCATGCACACACCAACAATATCCTGCTGATTTATAACATTGGATCTGAAATAATGAGTACCATTTTGTCGTTTCAATTTAATAAGAAGTCGTGTTTTGTTTATTCCTATCCAGTTTTATAAGCAAGTTGTTAGTAGGACTGGTGGATTATTCATTTTAACAATCGATCATTAACTTCAGTTTTAAGAACAATAAACGTTCATCATGAATCCGGCTCGAAGGACCAAAACTTGAAATTGAAAAACTCGATTCATCTGACGATGCATAATCGTTTATTTAAATAAGTAGGAATAATCGATTAATAAAATAGTTAGTTAACCTTTAGTCACCTAGAATGAAACGAAATATTTCCTTAAAGGACAATTTGATTAATAGATTATTCCAATTCATTTAAAAAATTCTTCGACTGGCTAACCGATAATTTTTTAAAAATGAAATTAATCGAAAATTAATCGATAAATCTGTTTGCCCAGGGGTCTAGTTGTTAGCGTTCGGATTCCTTAATTAATTCAATATAAATGACAATAAATAACCTTCTGGTAACGTCCATCTGGAGTACACTCCGGAACATAGAGACCATTGTGATGCTCATTTAATGCCGTCTGACGATCGGATAAGCAATCTGACGTATCTTCATCCCGTATTTCTTGTGATTCTTCGTCATAATTCTGACCAGAAGGAGGTGGTCTCAAAACTACAAGAATCTATTAGCAAAACTCTTGAAAAAAATAAACAAAAAACTACAACAATATCAAATCGTGTTTTGTGGAGCAAGAAATAATATACCAACCAAACAGATAAGAAAATAAAGAATTGAAAGAAATAATAATAAAAAACAAATGAAGGAATATGACAAAAGGTATATAAATTTATATCAAAAATTTGACAATCTACACAATGGTTTTATTGATAATTCACTGTAATAATTTGTTTGATAATAAGAAGCTATACAAAATAGTCTTAATATTTACAAGTATATAAATTTGTTAAATGCAAGAAGTACGTACTTTTTACATAAATATGAAAAACTGTACATATTTGATTTATATAGTTTATTTAGTAATTTTTATGCAATGTTTCAAGAAACTGTAGGTAGTCTTTAAAATGATTATTTACATATAATGCCATGAAATAGATGCAGAATTTATAACGACCCTATTTATGTATAAATCTAGTTGGACATTTAAATAAATGCAAAAAATTGCCAGAAACTGATTTCTGAGATATCAGCAGAAGTGAATCTACGTATTGCTTTTGGTTAGTGCTTCATTAGTTCAAAATGAAATAACTTTAACAACACTAAAATTTTTCTTTAAAATAAGTTATTACTTTAATTGACTTTATTAGATACTTTATTGTGGTGGTAGAATAAACAGATCCAATCATTTTTGGAGTACCTCATGAGAATGAATTAAGCAGTTAAAAGAGTGGTAAATCTAGGTTAATTCAGCAAAAAGATAAAATATTTTGTTTATTTACTTTTCAAAAGTATTAAAGTCGTATTAAAAAATACAGAAGTAATTTTTTTTTGATCCAAAGATGTTAAATACTTCAGTTTGCCAGTACCAAGTACCACCTTGACTGGAAATTACTTCAGCGAACCCGGATTATGTTCAGACCAGGATCAGATTTGTCGTAATACGGCCATCTAATCAGGTCCTGATCAGAGTGCAGTACTCCATCCCTTGATGTAAAGCACAGGACTCTATCCTTTGGTTCAGCCATCTGATCAAAATATAGTATCCTTTCCTTTGATCCGTCCATCTGATCAGTTTCTGATCAAAGTACAATCACCTGATCAGTTCCTTATCAGGATATAATACTACGAATCTTATTACGGTTTCGGTACGTTATTTAAAGCAAGATTGTATCCGATGTCCTGAACTAGATCATGATACAGAATTTAGTTTTTTATCTGATCTATTCTGTATGTAATATTGATTATTAAACAACAAATTTATTATTAATGTAAAGACTAAGTTATTATTTTGATTATATTAACAACGTCATAACGCTGCATTTACTTTATTCCTGATTCATCCCTGATCAGTCTTCAGGCAATCCTGATCTGGATCGGACCCTACACTGAATTAATTTCCAGTCGGGACCATATTCTCCTGCAGTGGTTTTAAACATCTGCATTTCTTGTATTAAAAGTCTTTTATGTGAATGGATTTTCATTTCAATAAAACAAATATTTAATTAAATATTTACATTGTTTGTCCACTATTAAAAAGTTATAAGGTTTTACTGTTTGATCATAAAAGATCATAATTTTAAATTTTATTTAATGGTAATCTTTATAGTTATCCATTCTTACATAGATATATTTTAATTTTACCTGCATTGGGATTTTGTTTATTACTGGGTTTCTTTGGGGGCGCGAAAAAATCGTCACCATCCTCGTCCTCGTCCTCGTCGTCCTTTTCATTTTTCGAACTATCCTCTCCCCTCGCGTCTGCGTGCAGCGACAAGAACACACGCAAAGAAACTATTTAAGTTCAAAACAAAGTACGACTATCTACCTAAAACGGCTACAACTAGACAGGCTTCAAAGCATTCCAGGAGATGTCTACGGGATGCTAGTGCTATTTGGTGGTTGTTGTGATAGTACACAAATTTACCCTCTTTTTATTAGTGGGGATGCAAACTACTATTAGCCCTTGTTGTCATCAATTACTTCTCTATCTGTTCTTTTTTTTATAACAACTTAACGTAAATCAATCTAACCCAAGATTATGTAATAATTTTAAATCAAAATGGAAGTCTAAACTCTAAGGGCGTTTTCACACGTTGCGGTATACAGCGGTCGATAAATTGTAAGTAGTAGTTTTCACACAGAGCGCTGCTGCAAAGATATAAATATAATAAATAAAATTGTCGGTGCTATTCAAGCTTCTCGCTTCTTAATTTTATTTTTGTAGGCATCAAATATTTTGCCCCATCTTTGTTCTACTAATTATAACTGAGCGAATTGTAGCCATTTGTGTGAAAGAGCGCATAAACTTACGATAATTTTTAATACATAAATGCTACCATAAACTTAGAACGTATTCAGTGGACTTGCGGTAAGATTCCATCACTACCAACAATTTTATGGTAACATGGTCGTGTAAAAGCGGTTCATTCGTTTATGAACATATGTTTCAGGTGCATCGTCATACCGCAATCATTTATATAAGGTTGTTCGGAAAGTCATTTCGTTTTTTCCCGACAGAGGATTTAATTGTATTCTTTTGCACCCAACTTCACATTTAAGCCGTATAATTTTTATATGCTTTGAGAGCTCATATAGCAAGGCTTGTGTGTGAAAAATTCCANGCATATTTTATATTCAAAAGTATTAAAAACGATTTCCTACATTAGGATTCTCTTTCACTCTTTAGTCAATAAAATCTCCTTGAATGTCTATGAATTATTCTCTTTTGTAAAGATTTGAACTTTGTCGCCATAAAATATTGCTTATACTTTACATTTTATAGCTAAACTTATTCGTCTCGATTTTTATTTCAGTTCGTACAAAGTCGTTTATTTCAAGTTCAGATAATATGTAGACGAATGGATGAAAAGCATTTGAAGGTAGAAAAAACTCAGTTTTTTACAAGAATATTTGTAACGCTGTGATAAAAGCGAACCTGGCAAGGTTGAGCTTATCGTTAAGCCTTGGCGTGTCCTGTTTTAGTATTTGTTCGAGCTTGTTAAGTTGAGCATGTCGAGACGTTTTATTATAATATCGCGTAACAGTAGGACAATGTACATACAATCTAAATTATTAATGATTGTGATACCGAGACATTAATTTTAAAATTAAAATTGTGTTGATAAGTGTTTATAAACTGTTCGAAGATTCGAAGAAAGAATGCAGCTTTTTTGAAAGATAACAAACAGTTTAACAAGAAGACTAATTGGATTTGGATTCATGTACCTAAACAGAAAAGGTAAATATTTGATGAAAATCTTTAAATATTGAGATTAATTAATGTGATTAATTATGCCATAAATGTGTTGGTTTTTGGTTGGTTGTATTTGGTGGTTTGTTAAAAGTGTTTAATTACAAAATGCAAATACTTTTCGGATTTACCACTTCAAATGTAAAATACAAAAGAGTATTTTCAAAGTACTTTTTTTAAATAAGGTACTTAGGTATTTAATCTTTTTCAAACGTTTTATTGTTCCTTGCTGAAGACATCTTCAGTGGGGAATAGCGAAATTACATGGACCACAGCAAAACTACCCGGAAAACAATATCGAATTCGAAATATTTTGGTTTTGGATTATCTATTTCCAAGGGATTCAGATTTTTTGCACTCTCTAAAAATCAAGTATTAGAAGGTCTCTTTATCTCTTCTTATAGGTACCTTCAATGGGCAACTTAAATTTGCAAATATAAAATACATCTGGAAAAGCATATTTTTTTTTAGATAAAATTCAATGTTTTTCTCAAAAAAGTATTTAAATGTAAAATAGACATGCCAAGGTATTTTGTATTTACCCATTACGTTTGATACGTTGACGAGTATGACATTTTGGCAAAACGACTAGAAGACCTTCAATTACATAAACTTACCTTAAAATATACCTTACTGGTGTAATTAGGGTTACCAATTTTTTGTGCCAAAAATAAAGTACCTATATCAAAGAAGGAGAAAAATAAACAGCATATTTTTTAATTTTATGAATGCATATTTTTTAATTCTTCTCTTGCAATCTACTATCACATTTAACATTTAAAACAAATGAACTCATTTTTTATTAAATTTATTTTACCGCTAGTTAGTTCGTTCTGTCAATTACATTTATTGCAGAAAACAGTCTTTCTGCCAATGGTGACATGACTGAGAAAAAGTATCTATATTTGAGACAATTTCAATGATATTGTTGAATTCTTCTAAAGTATTCACTAACAAATATCTTCACATTTTGCCAGTAGTCATCTCGAAATAATCATTATCTTCTAACCCTTTTCAATCAATTACTTGTAACATTTCTGATTTTGAATACAAATTACCATTATTCATAATAAACATCTGATTATCTCTATAGATAATAGCTTTATCAACCAAGTGTAAAGTTGTTAACAGTTCGTTCTCAGGACTTTTGGGATTTGCTGTGGTGCAGTGGATTAACTCCAGACATTTCGTCGTCTGCTGCAGTCGGCGCGGTCAATGATTAGCAATTTGGTATTAAATGACCACGGCAGCTCTCATGGTCTGGAGTTAAATCGACTGGGCGACGGTGAATCCCAAAAGCCTTCAGGACGAATTTGAACTTGAGGTGTGAAAGTCTTTATGGGAAAAACAATAATTTCGTATATTGTTTTGTTTCATGGCCAAAATACGTATGGTTTAATCTCTGCATTGACTCAACTTACAAAGTATTCAAAATGTTATAAACATCTGAAATATTTACACTATTTCCTTCTATTAATTTGATTCCATCCATTCTAACCAAAAAAAATTTTCATAGCAGTATGGTTGATAATCTCAGTTGTGATTGAATTTTGAGATATATGCGTTTAACCTAGGTCTAAATCAACTCTTTTAAATGTTGTAATTTTGACGTTGCATTTTGGATAAAGCAAGTAATTGATTATTGGAAATGTAACTGTAAATAAATTTCTTGTAGAAGTAAACACATTTAAGTTTTGATGGACGGAATTTATGCTGTTGATGTTATAAAAATTACCTTATTAGTATTAATAGAAAACCGAACTGCTATTCTGATAAAAATAAGCGATATTAATGAATCCGGCTCGAAGGACCAAAACTTGAAATTGAAAAACTCGATTCATCTGACGATGCATAATCGTTTATTTAAATAAGTAGGAATAATCGATTAATAAAATAGTTAGTTAACCTTTAGTCACCTAGAATGAAACGAAATATTTCCTTAAAGGACAATTTGATTAATAGATTATTCCAATTCATTTAAAAAATTCTTCGACTGGCTAACCGATAATTTTTTAAAAATGAAATTAATCGAAAATTAATCGATAAATCTGTTTGCCCAGGGGTCTAGTTGTTAGCGTTCGGATTCCTTAATTAATTCAATATAAATGACAATAAATAACCTTCTGGTAACGTCCATCTGGAGTACACTCCGGAACATAGAGACCATTGTGATGCTCATTTAATGCCGTCTGACGATCGGATAAGCAATCTGACGTATCTTCATCCCGTATTTCTTGTGATTCTTCGTCATAATTCTGACCAGAAGGAGGTGGTCTCAAAACTACAAGAATCTATTAGCAAAACTCTTGAAAAAAATAAACAAAAAACTACAACAATATCAAATCGTGTTTTGTGGAGCAAGAAATAATATACCAACCAAACAGATAAGAAAATAAAGAATTGAAAGAAATAATAATAAAAAACAAATGAAGGAATATGACAAAAGGTATATAAATTTATATCAAAAATTTGACAATCTACACAATGGTTTTATTGATAATTCACTGTAATAATTTGTTTGATAATAAGAAGCTATACAAAATAGTCTTAATATTTACAAGTATATAAATTTGTTAAATGCAAGAAGTACGTACTTTTTACATAAATATGAAAAACTGTACATATTTGATTTATATAGTTTATTTAGTAATTTTTATGCAATGTTTCAAGAAACTGTAGGTAGTCTTTAAAATGATTATTTACATATAATGCCATGAAATAGATGCAGAATTTATAACGACCCTATTTATGTATAAATCTAGTTGGACATTTAAATAAATGCAAAAAATTGCCAGAAACTGATTTCTGAGATATCAGCAGAAGTGAATCTACGTATTGCTTTTGGTTAGTGCTTCATTAGTTCAAAATGAAATAACTTTAACAACACTAAAATTTTTCTTTAAAATAAGTTATTACTTTAATTGACTTTATTAGATACTTTATTGTGGTGGTAGAATAAACAGATCCAATCATTTTTGGAGTACCTCATGAGAATGAATTAAGCAGTTAAAAGAGTGGTAAATCTAGGTTAATTCAGCAAAAAGATAAAATATTTTGTTTATTTACTTTTCAAAAGTATTAAAGTCGTATTAAAAAATACAGAAGTAATTTTTTTTTGATCCAAAGATGTTAAATACTTCAGTTTGCCAGTACCAAGTACCACCTTGACTGGAAATTACTTCAGCGAACCCGGATTATGTTCAGACCAGGATCAGATTTGTCGTAATACGGCCATCTAATCAGGTCCTGATCAGAGTGCAGTACTCCATCCCTTGATGTAAAGCACAGGACTCTATCCTTTGGTTCAGCCATCTGATCAAAATATAGTATCCTTTCCTTTGATCCGTCCATCTGATCAGTTTCTGATCAAAGTACAATCACCTGATCAGTTCCTTATCAGGATATAATACTACGAATCTTATTACGGTTTCGGTACGTTATTTAAAGCAAGATTGTATCCGATGTCCTGAACTAGATCATGATACAGAATTTAGTTTTTTATCTGATCTATTCTGTATGTAATATTGATTATTAAACAACA